AGGACGTCACGTTCAGATATTCAGTGAGGCTCCTCTTATGGAGGAAGGTTGTGTTGTCAATGAATATGACATCATTAATCAACTCAGCTGTACGGAAAATGAAGCTGTCTATACAATAATGTTATCGGTCACTAAAACAATGAATATACAAAATAAGTCACAACCTTGTTTGTCACTTTGGTAAAGATAGTGTTGTTAATGTTCAAATTAAAATTGATATCATGTCCCTTTAGATGTCAATCAATAAACATATCATAGTCAACACAACCTACAAGTGCTCATTAGAGTCCTCCGGCCTCTAGTTATCTTTAATTTTCTAATATCTTACAAGTGGATGGTGAACTTTCCGTTCCGCTCGGTCGCTGTATTCTCTGATAACTTTTTGTTCTCTCACCTTCGGAGTCAGTTTTTTAGTTCGGTCTCTCTGAGTTTCCTCTGATGTTTTTGCCAAAACAAATGACCTGATTTACACGAGGTTGACGGAAAGCCGAGGCGAAGGTCTTTTTGTAGAATTATTTCTACTTAGAAACGAATTTACTAAATGGATACTTAAATTATTTTAAAAGGTATAAAACATATGACATAACTATCGAGTGCTTTTGTAAATAATTAATAGTATTGTGAAGTTACTATTAGGAAGTAAAATGACAATATATTACAACGGATTATATTTAATACATGATCATAACATTTGTCTTTGGGAATATTTATTTCAGAATATTACTTCAGTAATAGAATATAAGTATATATTTTCTATAAAGATGATAGTAGGCTAAAGGGCTTTTTATTTATCTACAGCAGGTACATTATATAAATACAATACTAACACGTATTTCTATGAACCGCTACAGTTGTCATTGAACCTTTTTTATTCTATTCTATCCACTTTTCCAGTGGTTAGTTGCTGAATATAATGTTAAAATCACTTTTTACTTCAACAATAACAATCAAATATTTCCCAAGGTGTTATTTTTATCTGAAAGCCGTCAATTCGTTTCATTTAATCGATGCAATTAAAATTTCGGAACGTGTAATATTTTTCGAATTCTCATTATTAATTTCGCTTCACTCACGCGTGTCTTACACAGAGACACGGTACATCAATAAAACACGATGGGCATCGTTTATTACATTTAATATATCTACAAGGACAAGATAATACATGGAATACTATTTAGGAATATATTTGGGATCGTTCGATATATAGGACGAGTGAGTGGTGTGTCGTGACGCACATCCGTTAAACGGAGGATTAGCGGTGTCTGTAGCTGACAGGCGGCGGGCGAGGGGGGAGGAGGGAGGAGGGGGGGAGGTAGGGGGCCACTACGGCCATCAATCCCAGCCTGCACTTACACGATATAAATAACTGGCAGCTTATCTCGTCGCACGAATGGCTGTCATATCTCTCAGCTTACGACGACGAGCTTTACTATCGATTCGTCATCCCCCCGGACTTGGAGCCTCGTATAGAACTGGTCGTGAATCTCCTCCAAGGGTAGATTCAGACGCTCCTACGAATTAAGCTAGAGATGGATTCTCAGCCGGTCGATACGGGTAATGTTACCACTTAAGTACGTATCCCATTCGTTGTAATAGTTTAAAAACCCGTCCTTCAGTTGTCGAGATGTTTAATGTACCCACATGCCGTACACACACATGCGACAGATGGAATATTAGCAACTGTTTATTTTTGTGCCAAGTGTCGACATGTCGTGGGAACGACGCGTTTCGCATAGTTCGTGTTTATATTACATTACATTAGGAGGAGGACGAGCACACGATACGATCGAACTGAACGTAACGAGTAACGACGCCTCGCGTTACATTACCTGCGTCCTGTGGTTCAAATGACACTGATGGTTGGGGAGTGCACTTACAAGATACTTTATTTTTTATGTTTTCTTCTAATACTACAAATATTATATATATATTCCATCTCTTACAGCCACGGTCGTGCAAACATTAAAATGCTCGTATTTTTTATCTTATTCTATTATGGTACCTTAACATTTTCTATTGTATAGTAAATAGGGAGGGTCCATTGTTTAGTTAACTTTCCTTTCATTACAAAGGTTAAAAGACAAAAGGCTTATTGCAAGGAAAAGATGTTTAACGATTCATGTTGTAAATAATGGCTCGTAATATTGGAGCGCTCCACTCCGTTACAGATTAATTTCTATCAGAGGGTTCTCTCCTCCTCGTCTCCGACTGTCCTCTTACTAAAACACAACCTCTGTTTTATTGTAACCATTAATCTACGTTTATAGATAACGAAATTTGAATCGCTGTTTTAGTTTTTAGATAAATATATAAAAAAACTGACAGATACAAAATATAATAATTTGTGAATTTCATTTCAAAGTAAACTCTCAAGTTTAATTTAACATAATCGTCAGCGATACTCCGACACCTGTCAGTGACCATTCAAGAAGTTTCAGAATGATCTTCTGTACTAAATATTAAACGTGTACTAGTAGCTAGTATATAATAATTGTTATCTGTACGTATACAACAGTATCAGTGTCCGTGTGTCCGTGTGTCCGTCGTTCAGCACAATGAACACGGAAGAGCAGATGTGGAGTACACCTGATGAGGGCGGTCGCTTCCTCTGTGCGTGTGTTTAGTCACAACTCATCATCTACTCGCTGTCAAGGTGTTCCAGCGAACCTGTTCACACACTGACTATTATAACAGATGAACAATCCCTCACGATCCCGCTCTTCCTATATTAAATCCAAACGTGACGGATTATCTCCGGTAAGTTGATCCTAGCGAAAAATATTTTACTTATATTTCATTTCTTATTCTAAAACTCATCATCCACGCTTTAAGAACAATACATTAGTGTCTCAGTTTTTCTTGAAAATATTTATAAAGTTCAAATATTATAACGTCGGATTAATACTTTGGGCATTCGTGGTATGTTATACGAACAATAAATCTGAATGTACAACAATAATAAAGTATGTTGCGATTTAATAAAAGGGTGACCAAATGCTGCTCGGAAACATTTAACTGTTTTTTTTATAACTTTTCGATATAGGACAAATAGTGTTTTCAGTTCATCTTTAAAATAATTTAATGAGATATACATAACAGACAACATATTATACAACTTTAATTTTACTTTACCAATTTATATTTTAAGTAAGGAATACACTACATGTACGGAAATGAGTATATAATACATATACATACGCTCTACGGTCAGCTGATGCGATGCGAGCCGCCGGCGTTGAGGTCGGTAGAGAACGAAAGTGAAAATATAATGAATTAATAATATGTTTATTGTGAACGAGTAAAATATTTGTCCTTGTACTGAATGAGGAAGAAGTTAACGGTTCAAATACTAAGCTTAGAACCAAGAACTGCCTACTCTCAACATAACATTATGAAAAATAACTAATTGATAAAGTCTGTCATACTTCTTAACAAAGAATTTACAGTTTTTATGTGTAACGCTCTGTTTCTGTGTCATTATTATAAGGACAGGTCTGTAGTATGTCGTCGATGTATCTATTACTTACACCATATATTTCCTTCAACTCCTAATGGCCGCCGACTCAGTATGACTCACTGCTTGTTCTGGATAAAAACTAAACCACGTCGTCTTCAAAGGCATGAGGGAACGTTTGGTATTTCACATACAATTATTAAATTAAATTAAATTAAACTACTTTGTTCTAGAATCTACAGTCATACATCTTTCTTATACTTGTATTGATATGACAAATCAATACGTATTGCTTACAATATACAAAGAGCTGTATAACAAGTGCAAGACTTCGTTAAATTAGCCGGCTGTAAACCTTTTAATTAATGTGCTCTTTATACAGTATTTTTTTTCTAATCCCGGGGAACCCTAAAATGTAATTTGTTTTCTGTTCCCGGTGGTCGGTGCTCGGTCCGCGACAAAACGTAAACATTACTTCTGTAAACTCGCCGTGTTGCTATACTCTCTATGTGTGTGTGTGTATGTACGTGTGTGTGCGTATGTTTTCGTATGGACACACACACACACACACACGCACAGCTATACTCACACGCTGTTTAATGTTTAATCCAGTTACCAACTGTCCAATAAAACCAGATTAATTGGACAGCTTTGTGGATTTTTAACGGATTTTCATGACTTCTAGTGAATAATACCGTTTGTGTTATGGAGCTCTTTGTAGTGTATGTAACTCAGTATAGAGAGGTCGGCTGAAGTCACTTTTAATAGAACGACAGAACACGCTACATAAAAATATAAAAACAATACATATCTGTTCTGTGTGTAGTGTGAGACGACGAACATGGGCTGATTTATAACATATTACATAATAAGCAGGTTGTCATATTTATTAAAATATTGTTAATTAATAATAATACAAACACAGGTATATACCATAACATCTGTAGGAGACTCGTCTCATTTGGAACCAGTAAAAGTTCACAAACTAGTCGGTCGATGAAACTCCTGACTTCTGTCCGGGAATTTCACAAAATTCCCGCGGACCGTCCTCCCGGGTGAAAGATGACGACAAATTAAATTCCTCCTTTGAGATTGGATTTTAGAAGATGACAAGCCGATTGAAATATCTTGAAAGTCTTGAATGCCACTGAAGTAAGGAGTGATTAATAATAATCTTACTCGACTACTTTACCTACCTACATAAAGTGGATTGATTCTTTTATAATGAGAAAATTGATTTGTCTTTTTGTTATTATTTTGTCATTTATTTTATGTTAATATACTTTAAGAACATTTTGAATGACAATATTGTTAGAGTACAATGGAAGTGTACCAACAGAAATAGTATAAAAGGTTTATTTGTCGGATCACAGGCGACCTGTTTAATAATATCTGTGCAGGCGACAATAATAGAATTCTTTAAAATATTCAATGTTTCTGAGCGTCTTTTCGTCCGAGCTCTCTCTGTATCCTGTATGGTAGGTGTCCGTCAGCCGGAGGTCATTCCTGTTCCTTACTTTCCTATCAACTTGTATTAAATCAAGAATCACTTCATAGGTGTTCCTTTTCCACTAGTCATCAGTACTTGTGAGTGACTCCCCTCCTCCCCCCTCCCCCTCTGCTCCCAGGTCCTCCTTCTCTCCTCCTCCTCTTCGTTTTTCAACGTGTTGTGTAATTTCGTGTTTATGCTCAGTTTAATCGTATTCAACATCCAAACCGCACTTCCATTGAGTCTGTGACCACACTTATTAGAACAGATCTAAAAGTACCGTATTTTGTATTTGTTATGGTATATTTTTGTCTGAGCGCGTAACCACAATAGTTTGTTGACGGTAATAGGCTGGGAGCGGCGCTAATGGCGGAACATCCGCAAGGCGCACACACGCAAAGACACACACACAAACATACACACACAAACAAACACACACACACAAACATACACACACAAACATACACACACAAACACACATACACACTTGTATAGTTGATCCCGGGAACAAACATGCCTTTCCTAGAATTTATTTTTTAACTGTTATCAATATATTAATTATTTGCATATTATTGATTATAATCTTTACATTAGTAACCTCATTGAAGAGTCGACAGACGCTCATCCCTGGGGGCTTGGAAACTGTGGCTCCGAGAGGGAAGCATGTATTAAACATTTTCTAATATGTTTTGTACTATGAATGATGTCATTTGATGTTATAATATAACATTCCAGTACTAACATAGTAACATGCTAGGTTTTAGTCAAAAACTCCCTCTGAGATGCCGCCTCTATCCAGACTTTCTATGAATCCAAAGCGAACTGTTTGTCTCAAACAACTACCGGCCGCGGTGGAGTACGGAGTACGGACCTCCTACAGCGTAGACCCCACACTACAACCACCTGCCATACGATAACTTCACAACGTTTTTACATACATTGCTGCGGTATAATAATATATATTCGTCGAAGGTTCGGCTAGCGATCGATGTACATCATACATCGATATTTTAACTATCGTATCGGAACACGAGAGTTGTTTAAGATTTAGTGCTTAATTGTTGGCTCGAGTCAATGTCGGTTACTCATTTGAACATTTGAAGGCAGGGGTTAAACATGTATGTAATATAAACTTCAACAATACATATAGGTTGTTATGATGTACACATTATGGTCTATATTTGATTGAAGGTTTCTTGTATTATAATGTTACATTGTCAATTAATATGTTGAGGTCGGCACGAAGCTATGTTTCTGCTATTTAGTGCCGCACGGTTCTATGTACAACACAAAGAGTCGCCTTCCATATAGAGTTGACTCAAAGGGATTCATAACAGAACAAGTGAACGGTCGGCAGGAAGGATCTTTATAAAGAGAATTTGAAGAGAAATTACTACGAGGTTATGGGACGGGATGTATAGGACGAATATGATGGCATCTGTGGAAGTTTAGTAAACTAGGAGCAAACTATGATGTATGGCTTCCATTAAAATATTAATAATATTTAATAACGTTAATGTGACCCTCAAACAAGGTTGTTAATGAGAATAAATCCCTCAGGAGCGAGGGGATGCGTCTCCAGTCGTCGATATAATGACGAACGCTTCATTGACTGAGGGTGGGTCCACATTAACGAGCAGGCCGTCATATAAATAACACTATGGGTTCAGGATACTATTGCTTTACATTTTAGCCGATCATTTGACTAGTTTCCAGCAACGTAATTATAAGTATAATAATATAATGTTAGTACAAGCATATGCAGTACGTGTGGTGTAGTTATATACTCGTCTATATCTACTATGATAAGAATGGATCCAATTAATCATGATCTACCGTTAATATATTTATATGATGGTGATGTGTCGTGCTGTGTGTGATGATAACGTCAGCGGTGTCGGTCGCTAGCTAGTTATAAATACCCGGCCTTGTCCGGGTCGGCGGCACACGCGGAACGATGATCACGTGTCAACGGTGATGATGACCGAGATGTTACTGAGGTTCAAACGGTGTGATGATTGAAGTTTATTTAATATTATTCATTACAATAACTTTTTATTATAATATTTGTTTTGTTTCCATTTCAATAGTTGTTATATCAGTCTTCTCATCGTAGAACAAACATTAAATATCTCTATTATTGCTACCTTTATCAGTAAGTCGTTTGTTTCATACTCTAAACAGTTCGACACGAACCACTGAATTCATTACTCGCTATTGTGAATCAATCGACTATGTATTTACAATTGTACTCTTGACTCGTGCGACTCTCGTCTCTATACCCACGTGTTAGAGTTCAATGTCGCCCGACCGCTCCCTGAATCCGTTCTTATATTCTCGCAGACCTACTTTTCTTAAAATGGTATAAAGCGTTCATTTATTACTTTTTCTGTCACAAACGCCCGCTTAATATTTCAAAGTTATTATAAAGTATACTAATATGGCGAGCGCACTGTAATAACGTATACTTTGTATATATTAACTTATAATTCACTGCGTTTTTTTATTCAAAACTAAAGAAAAAACATTGAAACACAAAAGTTATTGTAATAGGACCATTTATATTCCAATCTGTTAAAGGTTCGGTTCACCTCAAGCCTCGAGGTACACATATAATTTGTATTTTATTTTGTCCTCATCGACCTTCATCCTCATCAGTACTATTACTATCGTCACTCATCACTGAACACCTCGCTTGTATCTATACCGTGGCTTTCTCCGGAGATGTTTCTTGTCTGTTCGTCTCACATTCTTTACCTGCCGCTGGTGTCCACGGAGCCGCTGCTGGTGGTTCATTCACTCCGGGTGTGTTCCTCGTTCGTTTCATTTCCAAGTATGGCGAGCGATTGTTTTGTCGTGAGCGATTGATGCGGCAGGAAATACAAATATGCAGATGTAGCTCAAATGTGTGGCCGCACGCATGCCTCGCTGGAGTGGCATGTGGCGTGGCGTGGCATGTTGTGGTGTTGTGGCATCGTGTTTAATACATATCATCGATATAACATTCCGTGATTGCATTTGATTGTCGACCAATTTTTTATTATCATTGTTTTTTTTTAACTCAAGGAATTACATATTTATGAGACGAGTGAAAAAAGGCCGCTTTTAAATTACACAGTTTTTGAATGAAACAGGATTTTTAAAACTTTGTTTAAAACTCTACTGATCAAAGAGATCCGGCCCTTAATTCTATGATGATGATGTTAACTTCAGAACGAGGAGACGGTGTGTTACATGATGAGTTGTGTTATGAGTTGTTTGTACACGAACTAAGTAGTAATATTGTCAACATAGTATCATTAAAGTGAAGCGACAAATAAGACTCGTCAATGTGTATGTAATAGGTCATACACAGACAGACAAGTCATCAGTTCAGTAACAGTTCTCACGGACGAGGGGCTCACTCACGGCCGAGATCGACCTGACTCTAGCGAAGGAAGTGCTCCCTTCCAAATAATGTAACGTGTTCCACTTCCTCCGACCAACACATAGAACAATTATTATAATATATTAATATACTAAGTATACCTCTCCGTATAATATTAAACACGCTATTATTGTGTTCATGTTAATAATCTGATCCAGTTTTTGAACTCAGTAACACGTAACATATTTTGTAAAAGTTCTCCTAAGGTCATGTTTGTCATATTTATTCCAGGTAACAGTCTAGGAGCAGGCACGAGGAGCGATCGGTTTTATAACTGTTGTAAATAAAAACATCTTTTGGAACATAATATTTTTATGGCAACATTTTTTATGATAAGTATTTCCTTTTGCAGTGTTTATGTACTCGTCGGTGTCGGTATGACATCACTGACTCACTCACCGGGAGACTGTTCGTTCCTCCCACTATAACTCATAAATAATATAGTTAGGAGATATCGATTAACATAACGTTCAGATGATATACACATAAAAATAAATTAGTTTTAAATGTTCTATGAATCAAAAGAATCAGTTTCAAACACACCTTCATGATGTCACTGAGTGTCATAAACACACAAATATTAACATACATATGTAGATGTGATCCTCGTGTCGCATGATATTTATATCAACTGCGTGTTTTTGTTTTCAAACTGTTTAACACGAATATAGTTGTTTAATCTGATTTACTGACAGTGAGTCTCGTGGCTCCTGCACCAGCTCCTTCGGTGGTAACCAATCGGTCATCTTCTTCACAATGTTCACACTTCACGTCCTCAGTCCACTCCTTAATAAATTTACAAGAGGACTCTCTGTTACAGGACAATGACTTTATATAGATCGTTGATCCTTGAAGGAAATCATAAAAGAATGGAACAAGTATAAATCACAATTACCTAATAAATGTATAATATTTCGATCATCTTTATAATATATTCCTTGTTGTCCGGCGACTCTCTCGGACCTGTTTTTTATACTTTCAAATGATACGTAACTCAAATGTTTCCTACACAATGAAGTGTAATGACGCACTAATATTATAATTAGGTTCGTTTAACTATTCGACATGTATTTAGACATCGTAATGAGGTTTATTATATACTATAATATTAAAAGTAACTCAGTAGGTACACGAGGCCGGCGTCACCTCGCGGGTCAAAGTTCCTCGCTATTCTCATGCTAATTTGACGAATGAGACCGACTATTCATACTTTAAAAGGTCAGCTGACACTTCGGAATCGATTCAGCGGAAAATTTACAGTCGCTTTGAAATAGACAAGCGTCGATAAACAAAATATACAAGTTGAAATATAAAATACAGGCAGGAATCAGAACAGTGAGTGTTGTACTGTTACACTGTTAGTGGTCGTTAGAGGACGGTGTTAACAGAAATAACATATTTAAAACGTCTCGAAATAAAAACTTCGCTTCGACGCACAATATAAAATTGGCGACGAAAAAATATTTATAAGAATATTTATGAAAATAAAAGCTTTAAAAAATATTTAAACGAGTTGTTTGTGAACGTTTAAACGTTGCGTGAGAGCTATTTGTGTTTCTTACAGTTTATGTTAAATATCATTGTGTTGTAATTATTGAAATACTTTGTTATCGATGGCGACACGGTTTAAGATGCGACGGTTTATTTTAAATGTCTTTTGTACGATCTCTTAATAGATAGTAACAAGTTACATGATGTATATATTTATATTCGCTCCTTGTTCGTCGTGTAACCTTTGTTTGTAGTAATCGAAGGTTTCTCTCACAATGTATTCGTGGTGTCCGTGTGTCGTGGAGACTAGATGTGAATGTCTGTTTGTGTAATATTCTTACTGTAGTGCACGTCAGTATTAAACAGCGCGGCACGTACTTTCTCGTGCTTATCAAACGGCACGTTTACGAGAGGCGATAAAGAATTGTTTGACTTTACGACTGTTTAAAAGCGTGACTTAGAATCACAGCAGAGTATCGTTATATGTACGGATGTGTATGTGTGTGTGTCACGTGGTGTATGTTTTAGACTGATAGCGCTACAGTTTGTTGAGAAGACGGCGGGGTCTCCTGAGAACACTAGTCAGAGGTGACCGCGGACCTGGACACGTGTATGACCGTCACATGAGAGATGATCTTTACTTTCCCAACCTTGGAATGTTACACAATAAAGAATTCAATGATATTACAATAAATATTCACGAACAATTACTTAAATGTTAATGAACGTTATATTTATAGCTTTTATGTTGAATGAGTACATTCTATACACATACACATCCAAAGTTAGTGTTATCCGTAAAATTATTAATTTTCTTTACTTTAGAACCTACTCTGAATGTTCTTTCTTTTTGTAAAAGAACTTCCAGACCAACTTAAATACTTCTAAGAAACAGTTTCGTGTAATATAAACTTTTATTTATATTAGCTCGTCTCCGTCACTCATACAATCTTCTATTTCCATTTAACTGACCGGATGAGACACGTCTCGCCTCCCGACTCCTCCTGTCACACGAACAAACGTGTTAATATGATCATCTGTTATCAAACTACACGAGATAGTAACGGTCTTAAGATAATAAAATAGGCGATTACAACTGACGAATGAGATGACTTCCACTGTAGCGTGAATGTTCTGTTATTATTATGTTTAATACAGAGTTGTTACTGTGAACAGAACAGTAAGTTAGTTGATATAATTAGTGGACAGAGGGCCGCAGGTACAGTCTGGGTAGACAGTTATAATACTATGATAGAAAGAAGAGATACGATCCCTGTGAAGATTTTCTCAAAATATTAATTCCATGTGCATGACCGGCTTAACGTAATATTATAATTAATAAATGCTCCGATAATTATATTATTACTTATAAACTAAACCTCTTGCATATATTAGTGCAACGTGACAAATACATGTCCACACAGGTATTGAACTGTCACAGAGACCTGTCAATAAAGAGACCTTGACACGCTTTAGACGTTCCGGGACAGTTGGGAGTTAGCTTTCGAATAACAAACTTCGGACATTATTGATACAAAACGAACTCTTAAAATAAAAACTTGTGTCGTGTTCGTCTCCTTTAAAGATAGTTCCGTACAGTGGCAACCGTCTGAGACGTGCCACACATCACAAACTAAATATTGTTATAGATGAACACAATCTCCCGAACGACCCAGCTTTGTAGGAGACACTTTGATATTGTTACGACGCGTACGTATCTCTGAAGTGACAGAGTTATTAATGTAAGTTAAATTGAGTATTTTATTTTGATTAAACCTACCGAGTGGAAGGACAGCGGACACCCAACACGCTACGTAACGCACATACTCGTGAGGCCAAGCGGCAGTAGATCAAGTATCACGACAGAGAGTACGAGATGACAGGCGACGAGCCCCAGGGGCCAGGATACAGATGCTTGTGTGAGCCCGCATCAATCAACCGACGAAGTTCAAAGACCCGCTGAGACTTCTATAACGACCGGCGCAGGATCTGATCACCGAACCTTTACGAGCGCATACACTCGCTCTAACGGCCGGGCTCGCATTACTACGGACGATACAATACAGTCGCGTGATGCGCCGAAATGTGACAATAAAAATTGTAATAAACATGAAATGAAAGCAGAAGTGAACACACACACACACACACACACACACACACACACACACACTCACACACACACGTCACTGACGTCCAGCTGAGAATTAATAAATAAAATGCAATATATTTAAACAATACAGTGAACCGTCGAGTAGAGATGAATAGTTAGGTTTAGTTTATTAGACTGTATACACAAAGAAATTTTGATTCAAATTATCAAAAATCAACAGTGAGAAGACAATGGTTATCTGAACTCCTTTATGAGAAGCCGACACGTCTTTATCTAGCCTCGTTCCGGTATTCACAGAGCACTCTCCTCAATGTTATTTTAAAAATATTCACAAGTCGCTTGAAACATTTAAGTCTCTCTATCTCCTGTTTGGATCAGTATCCTTTGTGCGGTGTTCGTTAATGCGTGCATGCATGTCGCTCGTCTCTCCCGACTCGAGGGAATGTTGCATGCTGCATGTCGCTCGATGGCCATCTTCTATTTATGGAGGGACGGAACTTGGTCAGCCGCTGTTACAAGCTGGTTCGGGTTCACTAATTGTGTAATGGGTAGCCAGATATGTGTAGGTATGTTAAAATCTACTAATCATTCAATGGACAATATATCCATATTAATACAAACATACGGTGTCCTGTGACTGTACAAGACTGAGTCGTCGCGGCGTATCGTTGTATATACAGATAAACAGTAGGTGGTAGGTGGTAGGTGGTAGGTGGGTGTGCCGTAACGTGATATAATCCAGGAGATATTCGATGTAAAGGACGTCGTCCACGCTCTCTGTATACCGATGACTCCAACTGTATGTACATATGTATGTATGGAAACTACAGCCTCATTGATAAATAAAATATGACTCACACACACACACACACACACACAGGCAGGCAGGAGACGGGTCGGATGAAATGTGGCATTTGGTGTTTAGATAGGAATGTTTTGTCGATAAAGTATTTGAAGGAGCCGTTTTAGGAGAGTCCGCATGTTGTCAGGCCTCAGATACGATAATAATAATTGACTATAATGATAGCGATCAGGAGGAGATACCGAGGAGGAGGAGGAGGAGGAGGAGGAGGAGGAGGAGGAGGGAGACACGCAGAGACGCGGGGAGTAGTGATATGTTGATATATAAACGATATTATAATAATGAAAGACAACCATCAATCACAATATAATATCAATGACCACGAGCGTCCTTACAACTACAGTACAACTCTCAACACCGAGCACGGAAACAGATTGACAGTAGATTATAATTAAATATACTACCACCAGTGACTACGACCACCACCGCCTCCTCTCACACATACATACATGCCTACCGTTCTTGTTTTAATTTAACTTTTATTTCACATTTCTCGTATGCAACCTTTTCAATATAAACCTATTAATTTTTAAGCTTTATAATTGTAATGACAAAAGTAATTACGATGTAACAAAATAATAATATTAACATATGCCGCGACGCGACCTCCATATAACAACCTCACATGATACATATAAACACATAATTACACACTTGAAATACCTTCTTGTAATATTCCACATTTGCGTGACACCCGGTCCCCCCGGTCCCCCCGGTCCCCCCGGTCCCCCCGGGCCCCCGGGGCCCTCGGTCGTCTCTACCAAACAAACATGTCTTATTTTAATTCAGTAATCATAAAATTATCCTAATTCTTATGCGCTAACTCTCAAGACTATAAAGAAACATCTGTTGGAGAGTACATGTATTAAATCAAATATCATTTTCACATATTACATTTCTTAACCTCGCCCCGCCTATCGACATTAAGGAACAGACCTGAGCTAATATTGTACATATTATATTATATCTCAATTAAAACACAACATTCAAATTTGCACATTTGTTTAGTTTCTTGGTAAACACTTCAAATGAGAGGTTCAGTTTTTTAATATAGGGTATTGTTTGGGACATTTCGATCAGTAAATACAAACAGATAGAATATCATCTATTTAAATATAAACCATACCAACTATATTTCTGTATTTTATCATGTATCAACGGTCTCTCTGTATAATATAAATGAACACAATACTAGCAGGCGGCGGGCGGCCGGCGGCAGGCGGCGTGCTACACTCGCTTGGCTGAGGTTTTAATTAAGTTGCTGGAACCCGCTCAGATAAAAATAATATTCCACATACCACTTTTAGATAAGATATTTTTTAATTAGTTTGTACAGAAATTAAACCTCTAAGTATGTTATATTATATTAGTCTTTGAGTGGTAGGTGGTAGGTGAGGCGCGGCGTCGTCTCTTTCCTGGTCTGTCTCAGTTGTCCACTCCACCTCTCTCCCTCAGGATGTCACACGAACGGTTCCAATTTCCATTCTAGCACCATCTCTGTAGTCGGTACATATCCGAGCCAACTATTTATGCATATTAAAATGTATTTCTCCGCTTCAATGTTTTAATATTGAATGTTCCCTGGCGGCCTCTCCGCACCTGAAGCCTCCCTCACTTCTTGTTAGTTTGTGCCGCTCCGAGTTTGTAATTGTAAGCATCCATTCTTAAGGCCGCGCACAACTTTGCTGATAAAATAGTTTAAATAATATGTACATCTAAATGAGATTCCTTTGTACTGTGTAGCTTATTGGAATATTTACAAAAACTATTCACGATACATCGCTGTCAACACACGACAAAACTCCTACATTGATTATGATACAATTAATAAAGTGTTGTAATAACAATCATCTGACTGAGTCTTAAAATTCTGTTTGTGTTATGATGAATCCTATACAAGTAAAGAGACAACCTCTCAGAGTCTTCTGTCTCGTCTCTATTCCTCCCCCGCGGCTCTCGGTTTGAGCCGTTTATGTTAATATTCTCTTACTTGATATATTAACATCCAAATTGATTTCAACTATTGAATAGTATATACATTTAAAAAACTATTTGTTTTACAAAACAGTAGACTATAAGAGTGTGCGTGTGTGAGTGTGCGTGTGTTTGTGTTATGCTCTCCTGAATTTTTAAAGTTTTTAGTATTTGTACATTAAATAGTTTCAACTATAAACATAAATGAACTCTTTCTTGAAGAATACAATTAAACTGCAAACACTTAATACTTGTATACTTCAAAAATACAAGAGAACAATAATCTTTTCTGATGAATGATATTTCAATTTTTCTTTTAAGGTTTGAATAAAACGTGATAATTTTCCTTAAAGTTCTGATGACACTGTTATAAGAATTGTTGTTGTTTTTTATTTAACAGTCAATTTAAATACATTGTTAATAAAAAGTATTTTCAATCAAAACTGGAAAAGTAAAAACGTTGATTGTGAAAAATGTAATTTCCGTTGGAGCGCAGTCTCTCGGCGGTATTTCTCTGTAATAGACGAACTTCTTCAAATATTTCAACATCCAATTCATTTACTGTGAACGTTCTGAGGGGAGACTGGAAAATATTAATTATTAAAGTGCCATTTTTAAAGTCTCGAATTAAAGCTCGCCGGCTCCCCGTTTCTATGTGGCAGGTATAATTATGACATAAGGCGGGTACACACGATGCTCGCCTTCTGGGGCACCGCTTGCTCCCAGCCCCCACTCGTGTTCATCACGCTTTATTTAAAACGAAATATGCACTAAAAAAATCCACTCTTTACAAATAAATAATAAAGTCTGTAAATCTATCGTCATCGCTTGAATATATTTATCAGTCGGTCGTTGCTTCCCTTAAACATATAATAAATGTTATTTTGAGCTAAATATTTATTATAAATGATAATCAAAGTAACACTCACAACGTCCCAGCGGCCGCGTGTCACGGGGCCCGTAGTGAGTGTTCTGTCATGTGGTGTAACAGTTTGTGTCGTGTTGTGAGGGCGCACGTTCAGGTTTCATTATTTAATGTGTTGTCGGTCGTTATTACATTTGTGCCTAATTACTTCAAGCGGCCGCGGTCCGTGTTCACAACCAACACAAACATTATATAATCGACTCATTTTTTCTGATGTTCGCTAAAAATCTTCCCACAGCGATGTGACCTGTCTTGTTTCAGTGACACTCCGCTGTGTGAGACCAGACTGAGTTCTTTGTATTATTTTAATGGTGATGTATTTTTTTCTTACTGTTTCTCGCAAGTAGTTGTCGGTGAACAGAACGTGGCCAGGTGACTCCTGACCGCAGACTGAAGTGGGAACTGTTCAAAGATACAATATATAATATCCTTATTGTATATAAAGAAAGTTTTTAAACCGTTCCCATTATTTTAATATAATACTCTCTTTTATATATTTGATGCTGATAACATTGAAGATAGCAGCTTATGTATTTTGTTGTAACCTCTATCTCTCCAGTAAAGAACTCTAATACCACTATCAACATTTGTCCGTGTCTGTAACATGTTTTTTATATCAAGTATCGAGGGTTCCTTATTCGATGCTACCCGGCGTTATGTAGGTGAGGTGTCTTTAAAAGGATTTTCTTTTTCTCCGTCCTTAAAATAAGGCGATAATTAGACGTGAACAGCCGGCGGCCGGTTGTTCCTCGTAATGAATGTTTCTTTCAGATTCCTTCATTACCTACTTAATGATCCTCTTCAGAGCTCTCTCGGTGTTTACTTTTGAGGTATTTACGGTTTGAGATATCTTTATTAATATTTCTCACAAGAAAAAAAATCACTTAGGAGAAACTATAAGGTAACATTAAAATTTTTTATTTAATTTTTTATATAATCTTAATTTGTATCATTGAATTAATATGAAAGAATGTTAACGTTGCGGCTAAATCAATGACTGAACGGACCCACAGAGGTCGAACCGACACAACTCCTCAGGAGTAACAGGAGACAGACTGATCCGTGTGCTCAGATGAGAGGAGGTGACACTTTATTTATTGTATATCTTACACTGACAAATGTGGTCGCGACTACTACTTAGTAACTTGGTAACTCATAATATTATAATCCTTCTATTACGATGCTCGTTATATGTAGATATTATCCGAGGTTACTGTACAAACATAAAAAAATCAGTAAGTACTTCTAATTACATGTGAGTCAGTACTTCTCTTTATATGTTTCCAAATTTTATATTAATTATATGTTCGTGCAGTATTTTATTAATTCTTATATTCCTCGTTATAATAATAACTCATCTTCATTTCTTTTAACTGTTCGCTGGTCAACTAACACTCTTACAATGTAGTGTCGTTTTCTTTTCATTATTTTTATTCAATGAGTGATCGCGATCTCCTTACCGTTTAATAATTCTATAAAAGTATCTTTATTAATATTCAGCGTCTCCTCTCGTCGTCTCCGATCGTCGCGGGGCGCGGGGGGGGGAGGTATCTGTAGGATTTCATTTCATTAGGAACTTCGAGTTTCAATATCGTTTCAGATTGGTTTTGAACGGAAAGTTAGTGAAACCACGAACACATAAACTTGAAAGACCTATTGTAATGTTATGATTGGCGACAATGTTAGGGTGACGTGATTATAAAGAACAGTAAACTATAAACATTACTATATAACCAGCTTTGTGTATGTACTGATTAAAAATATTTAATGAAATGATTTGATAGTGAGTGTGTGTGTGTGTATGAAGTAAGTTCATTAATTAATTGAATGTCGCTGTTCGTACCCTCGTCCTCCCTCAAACAAATCCGCAGACTATAGATATGATGAGGCTGGAGGCTCCGGGGGTGAGCTTAATGAACCCAACACGACAAACATCCATGATTTCACTTTCAATACATTGAATGTATTCATTATACAAATGCTATGTAATTAATACGTAGAGTATTACAACACTCGGACCTTTAATTGTACATTTGTGTGATTATAAGGTTTGTATCGATTGATAATTAAAACAGACTAAAATTCTACATCATATATAATTACCCAGTGTACCCTAACACGATATAGGGTCGAAGGTTATCATAAAAAGAACATATAATGGATACTTATAAGCTGCGGCTGACAGTACACAACACGTCAATGTATAGTAGTTCTAGTTATCTCCGTGATATAAAGTTTATGAGCTACGAGTATGTTACATTATGTTATGTGTTTGGTGACGTTAAGTCGACGTTTCAGTAGAATTTGCGGTAAGGGTTCATTGACCGCGGTGAGTGTTACGGCGAGGGGAGGTCGTCCTCTATACAGCGTGTGTAATGTGCGGTTTGAGGATGTTGTCCTTTTGTAATACTAGTGATGGAGGAATGACCTACACTTGAGATCTTCTGTTCCTGTATCCGAGTGAACCGCGGATGTGTTATAGGCAGAGGGCGGACCTGAGGCTCGTTACAGTACGCACCGCTCCTCTACTGTTTCACGCACGACCGCTCGCAGTCATAAAATGCAACAAAAAGCGCCGCGGGGGCATCAATTATAAAAGCACTCGACATTAAACCTAAAATCGATTTCAGCTGGAACGAGTAAATAATTCGGATGCGGTAATTGAAACGGATGAGCGAGTGAAGGGGAACTTTCTAAATGGCCTTTATCCAATTGCAGGATGTAGTTTGAATACAAGGGAAGGGTGCTGCTGGTACTGCTTTGTTGGAACTTACACACTATTGTGACTCGCTATTGTGATTGGACTTTTTAATTTATTTCTTTATAGGACGAACCGCCTAAACAATTGTAACGATGATGATTGAAACGATAGATCTCAAATTGTTATATTCAGAAATATTTATTTGAATTGCTCCTCCTCGTAAGACAGAGTGTGTGGTTAATATGAACACACCTCTCAAATTACTAAATACGTATTATATGTATTATATATCTTTACATACATATAATCCTTAAAAATAGATATAATACTTTTTCTTTTAATTAAGATTAAAAATGAAGGGTCTCGATTTAAAAACAGTAATCCAAGTCATCATTACCCTCCGCTCGGTTTGTTTATTTATTAAATTCATAATACGCTCCACAAAGACTTTATAATCCCAGCGTGAGAAATAGCGAGCTAGCTAATTCAAAAGTTAAACAAAGAAGTACTCAGGTGAAGTGGCGCTGCAAAGGCAGTCCTTGTAGAGAGAGCGAGCGGCGCCATCAAAGAACACTGTAGCTGCCAGTAGACCTGCTACTCGCTACTTATCGAGCGACTTTTAACGCACGCCTCCACAATATTCACCGCACATAATACAACCTTACCTTTGAGTTTTGCTCAATATTAAGTCATCGAGAACCCAACCTTACTTACTTTAAACATGTTAAGTGTTTTCTTCTCAAGAATTTAATGGATTTATTCCGCTGAATCTTTGAAATGTTTTATTCTTACAGAAGACCAGTGTTAATAGTGAGGACAACCGCTCACATCCAGACACCACCTCTACCTCATCACCAACACGACTCGACCGTTTCTTAAGGTGACATACACACAACCCGTCTCGTATATTCACACAAATCATTATTTTAATCCCTTCATCAAATGAAATTATTCCTCTTAGTTATGATGGATCTCATGTGTATCAAGTGGTAAGTAGTTGTACAGCGCCGGTGGCCGGTAACCCGATCTGAGAACAGAACAGAAAGGAAATTAATTAATTACAACAAACAAATATTAAAACTCTAACAGTTAACAAGGACTCTGCTACATGCTCGTACTGTTAAATGATCGTATCAAAAAAATGGATCATAGATACATTTTTTGCTTCAATTTATTACATCGGGGGAGTAAAAATTTGCTTTTTTGTTTAGTTTTTTTTAAGCCAACAAACTTTTCAAGATGTGATATTAGACTCCGTTCCATCGGCCTTGCTCCAGCTCCTCTGACTCTGACAGGGATCAATAAGACGTACATCATTGTATACGTATTTATATTTTATATATATTTATATTTGGATCCTGTTTGATCACATAAGGAGCCTCAGAGGAATGTAATAATACACGCACTGGGCACCGTTCTCTTATTTATAAAAACATTTATTTATACTGTTTTGTATAGAGGTAATATATTTCTTTTAAATATATGTTTTTATAATTGTGTAATGCAATTTTGATTAACTTAGAATCGTGCACGAATAAAAATAAAAATAATAAAAAATAAATCAAAAAGGGTCATAACGCCTGTATAGATGGTGAATGTCTGTTACAGTTAATGTGTGCGTGTGTGTGTGTGTGTGCGTGAGTGGTTCTCGAGTAGTTCATGAGTGGTTCCAATCAAAAAATCATTGAGAGAACGAATTGAATGGTCGCCGTTAACATAAACGAAAGACTTAACGTAAAGATAACCACAGACTTCATTATGAAAGAAATATGTTAGAACAATATATTGAACAGAATGTACATACGAGTTTATGCATTAAAAACTTTTTGACAGATGAAGTGAGTGTTGGCTTTAAGAGTTGGCTTCGAGTCGCTTTACGATCAACGAGACGACAACGACACAAGGCTACCATTGAAAGTGTAAAATGCTATAAAATAATTTTTGTTCGTACTTGAAACAATAATAATTAACAAAACGGATAGCGATCCAGACGCGTTTCCATCAATAATAATAACTGCTAGAAAACAAACCTTTCCGTAAAATTAATATGGAAACTTTAACTTCAACGTAAACGTAAACAAGTCAGCGTTCGTTTGCGGGATGATGTTTGTTTACGTTACGTCACTCAGTTGTTGTTACGTTCCGTATAAATCAATACGGACGTAAGCTCAGTTTGGAACATATCTCTGTATAGACAATTATAAATAATTAATAATTAAATGTAAACAAAAGTGTGAGACCGACATCAGATAAAAAGCTTAAGGAAATGTTTACATCGCAGCTGATAATACATAAATATTATGTTGATTATTACAACTATTAAAAGACACGAGGCGAGTGTCGAGAGACGAAAGGTGATGGCTGATGTTTGAAAATATACACAGACATAAGGATGTAGCGACTAACAAGCGACAGACAAATAACGGCTCAACAGAAAATACCTAATTATTTAATGAATAACTTTATTCTCTGAACTTAACTTACTGATATATTTTTCTTTCAGTAAACGATGAGTGTGACATTAAAAATATCATAATAATATAATATGTATTTATACCGTGATTCTGACGTTAACAGAATATCAAATTATGTTACGACCTCCGCGTGTAGTTGTATTTTATTATTTAACCGACTTCAAACAAGGAGGAGGTTTCTGACTTCGTCATCAAGTGATTTATATAAATGCTTTATGTTTTTAATGGGGTGTCATAATTCCCAAGGGTTGTTCTATAAATAAAAACCAGAATCTGATGTTGGTATACTAGATAATATACGGAGAAAACTTTTAAATAAAGATAATTGGGAAATGTCTCCTCACTTTTATCCGTTTCCGTGTTTGTGGTTTTTCCGAGATCATACAGCGGTCACTTGTACTCATTTGTATTTGTTGTCGTTTATGGTTCTTACCACAGACGATGTATAAAATAAATGACAACTACCCAGCATGGTTTAAAGACTTACATTATATTTTAAACAATATGTATCATCGTTCAATATTGATAAGAAGTAATCAGGACCGGAGGATCTGATGTCAGCCGTCAGAAGGGTACGTTGGTAGTAATACTTGTCAATAATGAACACATTCAGTATACTTACATAGAGAGTGTGTGTTTATGAACGTACATAGTATTATAAAACACGAGATTCAGCTCTTAGCTCTGAACTGAGTCCTGACGAGCACAGTCTAATGTAGAACATATTAAGACATACGGCACACAGCATAATTATTGACAAAATATATATAGATTTTTTTTATACGTATGTGCCAGTATATGCTACTTTTACAATAAAGTTTACATTATTTTATAGGCTCTATTCATAACTGCCAACGTTGTGTCAAAAAGACTTACCTTTTATATATTTTTTATGATGACAAAAAGCGAACAAGAAGCGTTCATCCCTCAAAGTAATTAAGTCCCTTTTATCATTAAGCCGGCTCACCGCCGACCGTCCGATGGCCGGGATAAGTGCTTGTTATTGTAGCCTCGCCCCGAACAGAGAGAATGAAGCACCTGTGACGTCACGACACACACACACACATATCATAAAAGTGCATACTGATCATATATTCAAATTAAACTCTAATCCAGCCAGCCCTGATACCAGAACATTATTTTTAATTTGTTTTTCCTATCTGTCTTGCTTTCTTCATCCAGTACATGTAGTCTTTTAAATCTGAGTCTACAGTGAGTTCGGAGCAAAATATAAGTGGTATAATATTCTATAAACTCAATGCTACTAGGTAAAAAAATCTAAACATTTAAGAATTACCATGTTATTTAATACTGTTACTTGCTTGATGATTACCACGTTTTATAACAGAAAATAGCAAAAAATATTCACAACTCCAACGCAAAAATATATTCAGCTGCTATTAACTAAACAAAGTAACACTTAACTGTTCTAATCTCGACTTTGACCGATCGTTAAATTAAGTAATTAATTCAAAGTCATCCGTTCATAAAGGTGAACGTTCAATAATCATTTTATTTCTATATACTAGTAGGTATCTATGTATAATTCTAATAGTAGTTTAAATGTCACAGTTGTCTGTGTTGTCATTGTTTCGTGTAAGTCGGTGCGTCGCTTCCTCCGTCACTAACAACTGTTCATAACACTCTAACAATCGTCGCTTCATTTTTTAAATATCACAATATCACAATAACACAAACACGGAGCGTACAAGGTAACGATAAATATTGATTTGATGTTTGAATTTAACGTGACGTGAGGAACACTGAAAAATGACAGACTTTGAACCAATAATATATTTATATTAATATCTTTGAAACAATGAAATGAATCCAATATTATATTAGAATTTAGATGAACTATTATCATGCCGCGGATCTCCGTCTATTAAATACTGTAATGTATTCTTAATATTATTATATCTTCTCAACTGGTCGTGTCCTGTCACCGTCTTCTTCCCGCCTTCATCTTCATGATCCAGTGTTATCAGATGTTATCCATCACACGCGAGGTTCTCCTCTGGTCGCTCTCTGCTGCTGACCTTCTGTCTCATCAAGTCTCTTCCAGTCCTCCTCCGGGCCGTGAGCGTCGTATTGAGTGAGTCCTCTGAGACCTTCCAAGTACTCTGAAAACATTAAAACCTGCATAAATAAAGTTTGTTCTCGCTTCACCAGGAGTCTTCGTATCTACATAATCGTATAAACTTAACGTCGTTAAGAAAATTAATTAATTCATCATAACGTTTAACTTTAAAACGCCGGAATGAACGTCAAACGACACAGATTTTTGTTCAAAACAAAATTTATTAGTAATTGTAGTTAAGTCATTCACAATAACATATATTCGTAATGTTCTGTGTATAATGAGGTCGTCTCTCGATTTGAAACAACGTAAAGTGATCCTCGCTCCAGTCGGCACCTTTGTGTCCGGAAGCCTGACGAATCCCTTTGTAGTCGGTCACAACACGGGCCGCTCGCGCTAGGTCGTGTCGCCTACAACACTGACATTTAATAAAGCTTTGACGTTATAAATTTGCATAAAAACTATTACATACAGAAACAAACAGATAACGATTCCTTGAAGTTATAGAGACACATACATACATCATTATATAAATAACATAGCCTTGTAGAAAATATAATTTATATGAGGTCAAGACACAACAGAGGTCTCCGCCGGTTGGTTGTCGCGTTGTACTAATAAATATGAATATATTACATAACAGATTAAGTTGATTGAATATTTAGCGCCGAAATTATAATAATATACTGGCATATCTAAACACAGAAACTAATTAAATTATAGCCCTGTACAATCACATAACATTTAATATAATATGTTTCAAGCTAGCTCGGGTCCGCGGGGCGTGTTTCTTTGCTCGTGACTCCTATCGCTTTGTTCGCAGTTAATTGCTTTTTTGGACCATCCCGGAGTGAGTCGCTGTTATCAGTCTCACGATAAACCGCTGTCATAAAAACCTGCTTCCGACGAATACTTGGAGGAGTTACGTTACCCGGAGGAGCTCAGACAAGTGATGAATGTGGCGCGAGACGTACTTACTTCTTTCAGCGATGTAATCTTAAAAATGGCTTGATAATGGTCGATTGTAACAAAGACCGGATCATTATCGCCGCGTGAACCCGACACCCGCTCTTAACGACCAGTACATAGAGGCGAGTATCGCGTGAGGAGGAGGAGAGAGCAGCCCGAGGAGCCGTCACAGCCGGAGCGGTCTCTCCTATTACTAATTCGTTCAACCTCAGCAGTCACCATCATTAACATGGATTTACAACGCTAACAATAAAACTACAGACACAAGAATATACAACAATATACAAGGATGTACAGGGGGATGGTATTTAAAACGTTTATATTATAAAAATGGTCGTGGTGCCTCCTGTTATTGTTCCCATTAAAGGTTTCCCTGACATCAGCTACATTTGATATTATAATGATGACGAAAACGACAACCATGATGTACTGAATACTGACAATATAATGTACATTTATAAAAGTAAGACACGCTCTACGGAAAACAAAAAACACATAAAAGCATTCTTTTCAACGCACCTATTTTATAATTTTTCTCATATATATTTTTTTAATAAAAATATCTGTATTCGCTTCAAATTGCACAGAATATTTGAAACATAACTTACTGTAAGCACGATGGGAGACAATTTAGTGTTAAATTACTTTAATATAGATACATTAAAAATTTATCGAGACATAAAGAGAGGTCGCAGTGTCAAGAAGTAGGTACCCAGAGATGAAACTCATAATAGATATGAAACAATTGATGTGTTAGAGATGCATCGGTTATTATAAGTTGACGGGGTCCATATTAATATATTATGTTACATTACGACTCAATCGGTGAGTAACGATGTACGGATGTTTAAGAAGAATTAACTCTTGTACGAGAAGGTCACAGCCAGCTCAGAACTGAGGACGGACTAGGAGAGGACTCCTTGATATATAGACCCGACACTAAGAACTTGTTGTATAGTTATAGATAGAGAGACAAATCGTTTTGTTTTAATAAAATCATTGAGCCGCTATACGTTCACACAGCGTCTACAAAGTACAGTGACATATATTTTATGATAATATTGTAATAAAGAATTAGAACAACTACTGAATATCATCTCCTGAACACGCGCCAGTCCTCTCTAACTGTTTGATAACTTCTCAGTCATTCTCCGTAATTAGTTCATTATCTCTTTAATTGCCTCGTACAATGTGGCTAAGTACGAAATTAATTTCACGCTGCAGCATGTATGGAATATACAACCGGTGAACGCTTGCCACATCGTGTTATATGGTGCAGACGATTATATCCTTTACAACTAACAAGATACGGTCGGAAATGGTTCGAATTCGATTGTACAATAATATGAGGTGCGTTTTAAAGTGTCTTCATTAATCTTATAGAATGGTCAGATGCGGATGAGAGTGGTCCCGACACACACGACTCTATTAATATCCTTCTCGCCAATCATTAACCGACTACAACATTCACGACGTTAAGGACACACTGACGAGGATACACCATACACAACAACTAGACGAGGTCGACACCTCGAGACGACTCCTTTAATATATATTACATTGTCATTTTAAATTCCTTACAATAAAAATGACTGTGTTGTATTGATTTTTTATATAAAGAGACTTTGTTGTTTTATTGTTACAGGGAGGAGGACAAAAACATGGGCGCCGAGAGACGGACGCAGTTAGAACGGTGTTGTTCACGAAACTATTGGGATTACGACTTAGAACAGAGTTGAAGTTACCGATGACACGGAACAGAGACGAGACACGACAGGGGGCGATACATGAGTTATAACTGGAATAATAAACTGTTCTACTAGAACTAGCGACAGGCGACAGGCGAGGATTGTTATTAGATTATTATTGACAATGAATATTATTAATTGTGTTATGCAAGCACAGATTAAATCGATCTCAAACGACAATACCTTTATTTAAATAAGTAATAACTATTTACATAAATCCGTTCTGAATACTGCTCGGAGCGCTTTTAATCCTTTTACAAACGGAACATCGAGGGAGACAAACAAGTCGACGTTAAAATGAAATTGTACTCTATAGTAGTAGACACAGAGTCACAAATAGAGTAATTCATGAAGGAAACAGCCATTCAGCAATAGCATCACCACCAGCTGAGCTCTCACACAACACAAGAGACGGTCCGCAGCCCACTAATAACATTACATTATATAACAATAACTCCATTACTGACACTTATATATACGAGTATATATTAAAAACATACAGATATATATATGTATATAATATTTGTAAATCATACAATCGGTTTATTGCGTCGACTTCAGCTTTCGTTTATTTTTTGATAGTACGAGCATTAATTTAGAATAATAATTAATTAGCACACGATTTCAGCTCCTCTTAGGACAGAGCTTTGTTTCACTCATAGATTTCTTGTTAAAACATAACATGAACTCTTTATTCTGTTTTTGTTTTTATTAGTGCTTTAGTCACATTTTTTCATTGTTCCACCCTCCCCAATCTCCCCCCGGATATCTCACCCCTAACGGCCCAGCTTATATCTTTAAATATTAATTTCTAATTGATGTGCAGGCGCTGAGTGACCCTCGAACTGAACAATTTAAAATATGATTTTGTTTTACAATGGAAACTATCACTTTATTTAACAATCTCTTCAGATGTTCAAACCTGTCTGACTCAATGAATCGATATCTTTATCATCTTCATTATTTGGTTGACGAGAGGAAGAAGCAAAGTCTGTCGATACTAAACATTAACACCACTTGTTCACTGACCTGCTGCCCCTCGCTAAAGACCGACCGGGACGCTGGTGACCGACTCGCTGGTGAAATAACCATTATAAACCCGTCTCAACACAGTTTCAGTGAGCCTGTATGAATAATTGACAAATAAAAATATCTGGAACAGCAGAAGGAAGAAAATATCTTACCATGTATATTTCTCATTAACTTTCTGTCGAAAATACAAAAGCAATAAGTATCAATCAAATGCGATGGTTACTGTATATAATTTTCGATACTGTCAACTTCAACGGATTTCACGTTACAGTTGTGACGTCAACAACCAGTTAATTTTTCATTTCCTAACAATGTTGTTGAGTGATACTTGTACTAAACATTATTGTGATTAAGGTATACATCGATTGAGACATTCAAATTAAACTAAGTGTAACTTTATTCACCTATGAAAATTCGCCGCATTTCCGTGTCCAATATTAAGTTTTATTTGAAGCTTGACTAATATCATGTAAGTTACACTTCACGAGCGGAGTATATTTCCATTTTTGTTTTCTTTTCCTCTGGATCATGTTTCAGCGTATTATATTACCTGAGAGCTAGTTGGAATTCCTCCGACACCCGCCGACAATGGAACTTGTGTTTTAATTGAACTCGAACATAACTTGAAAAATGTTTTTATGATTAAACTCAATATTGATATAAAAAAGTACGAAGTAACTTTACAAGGATATTATTAACTGTAGTAGTGTTCCTTTAAGATCCTGTTCCACCCCCCGCTAGTAACGAGGTTCGCCGCTAGGTACCTACTGTGATAAGGATCGCTTTGGAAACAATAAACGACCTTCTGACCTCCTTATCTCCAAACTGGAACACTCGCCCTCAAAAGAAACGCGAACACTATCCCCAGCGGCCCATCGTCCTTTATATCTTCAGATTTAGCTTTTGTAATATTCTTTAAATGGAGAGATTCATTTTACAAAAATACTTTTGTCATTGTATATATATACTCTACGTACATAAAAAAAGTAATAATCAATACTTACTGTACTATAGTACAAAATGAACCTTACACTACTGGCGCTGCATTTTTTTAAATATATATAACGTCATGTTGGGAGAATGTAGCGAAGCCAAAAGAAAGGCTGACCTGTGAGAACTGTAGGTACACGAGAGGTACGTTAGTGTTTATAGTATAATCTTTATTGATCGATGTCATGTATCCAGAAAATGATTTAAGTGATTCTTACAAACTACATATATACTGCTTACTTCGTTGTAGCGGCAAAATATTCAAAATTTTAAATAATTTAAACAGTGTAACTTTTTATAATTATTTAACCGTTACATTAATAAGCGAAGACTTTAAACAAAACAAATCACAATAAACTGTCACTAACATTATTATGAATGTAATAAGAGAAAAAACGAACATAGTCTTGGATCTCATTATGTTATAATCAATGTTATTTGTACTTCTTATTGAACTCTTCCTACTGTCTACTACAATACAGGAATCAATCTCTGTATCAGTAGCGGCCATACCCTGGAGCATCAGGATGTAACGTTTGTACTTCATATTAAGTATATAAAGATTAACAAATCTTTTCATATCTCACGAATTTTTATGTCTAATGACGTAATTTTATTTTTCTCTATCAGCAGGGTCTGTTCGACTTCTCTATACTATCTTTTAGTCAATAACTCAGTTCGTTCGTTTTTCTTGATTTTTGTTTCCATTATTTTAGTACGTTAAACGTATGATAGAGGCGTATGTATGATAGTCGATAGTAATAAAAATGTAAGTGATCCAGTAACACAGTACAGTCTATGGGTGGTGATAAGACATCACTGGCCAAATCTCATATTGACTGCATTACGAAGAAGAGAGGATCCCACCTCCACCGACCTCGACCGAATACTCCATCAACATAGACATGTATTAATATATTGAACATCCTTAAGACACTATTAGATAAATATAGTGCTGTTTGTACAAAACTCAAGTAACCAATAACACGGGACGTGTTTCTTCTTTGATACGTTGCGGTAACAAAATGTCTTATCGAGTATTAACATATATAAATGTCACGGACCTCACTCCTCCCTCCGTGTGTCCGTGTGTCCGTGTGTCCGGTCTCTGCTGCCTCCTCACCTCGTCTGTATCAGCGTCAGGTTCCCTTCATCACGCGAGCCTCATCAATCCACGTTATATATCCGCTGAATGGTATTTATTAATGTCGACTTATTTATAATGTCGCGGCACGAAACACAAATCACAGTGCGGCTTCAAATTAGACTGAATTATGTAGTCAGTTTGTTTTGTGCGGTTTCAGTAATTTATCCGCCCAATAATCCATGGAGCTCGATGGTGAACAACCATCAGTCCTCGCTCCCCCCCTCTCCCCCCGGGAGGTCGGTGTGTCGGTACTCCGAGCCCTGCGTCACCCTCGTCACACCTCCGCAGGCCCTCAGCGAACACTGATCACTTCGTTAAAACTAAAAACCCTTCAATTCGACGAGTTGTTTATTCAACAAACTGAAAATAATTATCGTCCTATTGACTCTATAATATTGTTTTTACTATACTTTGAAATATTAATTAACCATAAAAGAGGCAGTATTGGTTTGAACAATTGCATTCATATTATTAGGTCCCGGAGAATTTGAATCGAGTCTAACGGTTTATGAAGACTTAGTTGTTATTAAGGCCCGGCCTGCTGCGGGCGACATCGGCGTCCGGCCGGGCCTCGCGGGCCTGGCGGGTCTCGCTCTCTATAATTGCAATTCATCTGCACTGTCGGCTCAATCGAAACCTAAATACCGATCTCTTAAGATTTACTATTAAATACCTTCCTCGATATAATTCTAGTTTTCATTAGGGCGGTGTAAGAGTCTGTGAGGTATTAGCGATACAATATATAATATATAAGTAGGCGGCGGTCGGAAAGATGATCGGGGAATTAAGTCGCAGCGAGCTGCTCCCCGGGGGGCCTCTTCCCGTATCCAAAGTTCCCGGACGTGCTCAGTAAATAAATTCATTTCACTACTCGTAATATGAAATTAAAAATATGTTGTTAGGTGTCGGATTGTCTGAAGAGCCGTCACTCGGGGCTCGTGACCGACGCTCGCTCCGACCGAGGACTCTTTACATATAAAGTACGTCCATCATTACAATAAAACAAACGTTTTGGAACCAACATAGACACATTGACTTGTATAATTATAACTATAGGACAAGATTGAAGGAAAGTTAAGTCTACAACAGCAAGTTATAAGTTCGAGATGTCCTGTTTGAACAATCGTTCTAATATCTTGTAATGTACTCTGAAATGAGGAGCCGAGTACACTATGTACCTGATCTCCCGAAAACAAGGTGGAAATAGAAAGCCCCCGGCCCCAAGCTTTTCACAACTTTCCATTAGTAGTTTCGTAAGGAAGTGTAGATTATATTATTATGTATATCGTTTTTTATAAACATACGTATATGTATGTATAATAGAAATAGTTTAATAATGAAACCGTACACCAGATGAAGCTGACGTGTCATTTTTCTTTTGTATTTTGGTCTCGTTCCAAGTTTTAATGTTTTATTGTCAGACCTTACTCCACATCTCCGGACCCGCCTGCCTGCCGACTTCTAACTACCCACCGCCGAGGAAACTGCTATATCATCTTTTATTTGCGCGGCTCCCAGACACGCACAGCTCGTGCAATAACTCAAGGAATATATTAATCGTTTTCTGATCTCGTCTCTCCAAATATAAAAATGTCGTTAAAGTAACTGAGTGTAGTGAACCTCGCACCTCACACCTCGCCTCCTCGTCTCTGAATGTCGTAATTAACGACTTATAATTTACCAATCCCCCTCACCACCTGAGTGGAGACACTCGACTGTCATCTGCCGCTGCTCCGTCGAACCGTTCATGTCGAGTGTTGTTTTTGCACTTCACATATTTATTTGACAATTTGGATGGTTTGTTTTTACATAGCGTGCAGTAGTTTTGTTATTGGAGCTGTAACGAGCGCTTCACTCGCCACCAATTAAGGCCGATGCCAAAACCCCCACGTATTCGGTATTCCATAACAATGACGCCCCCCTCCCCTCACCCCCCTCGTCCCCCGAACCTCCCAGGCGGCTGCACGTCGAGCTCACGTTGCCTAAAAAATAATTGTTTACGTTTTATTTCACCCTTATCTTTGAATGGGCTGCGCTCGAATTGAAGCTTTCGTAAAAAATAAACGAGAATCGAACGCACGCCTTTGTGTTACATTTAACAACTGTTCCGTCGCCTGGTACTGTCGAGCTGTTCCTCACACGAACAGTACAATGTATGACAAGCTACGGACGTTACTATACAACACTATGTAAGTATAAGTGTCACAAGTAGTTATTAATATTTTATAAGTAGCTGTAACTGTAACTAATATCTGACCAATAAACCGGTAAGAAATCAATGTTGATGACATAAAACATTTTGCATGAATCTCCATCTGTTTCGTCCTGGTCAGTGTCAGGAGGAGACAACTCTCAACAACATACCTATGCATGTTTTGACACTCAATTCTCTCTATACTTCTTTAAATATATGTATATCCAATATAAGATAATGTAATGCACACACACACACATAATCTTTTTATTTATTCAATTTCAATTGTCATTTTTCATTTTGGTGATTTTGCTTTATAAACAGTCTTTGAAGTTTTTTAAAATTTCTAATTTTGAAAACTCCTTTCGTCTGATATCCCTCTCGTTGAGGCTATAATTATTGTTATTTTACAACTCTTTAAATATTTATGTTTTACTAAACTTCGCAGACAATAATTCTCTAAGAACGCAACAATACTATTCAAATAAATTTGTGGCTTCTTGAACAGAATCTCCGTCGTTAACTGTAGATTGTTTTATTATTTTCAGAAGAATGCTTTCTTTATAAATACGAGGATCTCTTGACATGTTCGAGAGTTAGTTTTTAATTCACACAAAGTAACTGAACATGGACTTCTTTTATGTGTTTATGAAAAGATTATTATGAGTGTGTAGGACAGTTAGCAGTGACGCTGTGTGGAGTGTAGATGACATGTGGAGGGAGGGGGAGGGGACGTATACTATACTCGTATATTACATTGTAACAATAATATCTTAACAATTTCATCCAGCTGTAACTAAAAGAGTCAAAGTAGTAAAACAAACCTATTGACAATTTAATTTGTTGGTCACTGGAATTACATGAGGATTAAAAGTTTGATCAGATCTTTCTAGTACTTTGGTATTCTGAATAATAAATTGAAACTCGTTTTTCCTCGTATAGTAACTGTAGTTATTTTTTTTGTATGTCAGTTGGCCAGTGGCTCTATTCAAAGACTCATACGAAGTCGAGTAACACTCAACGGGCGGAACATCAGCACTGTGAAGGAACACGTGTTGTGTGTGTGTGTGTGTGTGTGTGTGTGTGTGTGTGTGTGTGTATGTTTGCAGTATTAAACATAAATACAGTATCGAGAATGAACCACATGTATGTGTTTAGTCCAAGTTATACTACATACGGTTCTTTGACAATTTTACATTAAAAAAACATCAAATGGTTGTAGTACCTTACAGTACGAGAGAGTTATTATGAAGAAGTTATTTAAAAAGGTTGTTTTGGCCATTCTCCGTTCTTCCAGCATTGAGACACCATACATCTGTAACCGACCACGAGACCAGTCCTCAGCCGACTGACTCCTAACTTCTCTATGTAAGTGTGAGGTCGTATTTTCTTTCATACAGTCTACTGAGGGTCAAGTTGTGTGGTTTACTAGAGAAACTTTAAAAGGCATGTTTTTTAATCTCCCGCTACACTTACAATCCAACGTGATCAAAAAAACAAATCGTAAAATGACTAAGCTGAATTCCGCTCCGTTGGTCCTGTGGTGCGTCAGTAACATCGCCTGGGATCCAACTATTTAATATTTATAACACGTACGAGGGATTTTGGACAGCCGATGTAGCCACTTGGCGGCCTCACATGGAGATACGACCCTGCACTAAAATGGATTTTAAGACTTTCACTATACATATCATATTTGTATGAAACATTTAATTTGGATTTAACTTTACGATGGAATTGCAAAAGTGCTCGACAGAGCGATATGAGGGAGGCGTTTTCCGGCTTATCCTCGCTAGCCTTAGACGTGGAAAATTTTTCTTTGCAAGCAATATTTCATTTAATTACATTGTATACCTTACTTCAGTTACTTAAAGTATTTTTAAGTTTTTGATCTAATTTTAATGAACACACAGACACCAGTACACCACCGATATCTCAGCCGATCAGTATGTACATTAAACACAACTACAGAATAAGAATCGTGAACAAATGAAGGCACACTCAACAATGTGACCTCACACAAGTATACAATGAAAAATAACAACATTATTCAGAATTAAAAATATTACTTCATCATCTTTCTCTCTTAAGAAACCATTTATCATTTTACGAGTATAAATACGAAAATCCTCTCAGTCCTCCTCGCCAGCCAGCTGTGTGTGTCGTGACCGTTTGACCAAGTGGCTTTACCATTTTGCGGGTATTCTTATGATTCAACGTTCTAATATTACAAATCTTATATTAAACATACTATGTTACTTTACCGGGTTACGTCCCTCATTTACTACTTATCTTCAGAGAATTGTTATATATTCAGTTAGTCAGTTAGTTGTTGTCAGCGGGTCGTACATGTCTATATATAAGCCGCTCCTCGTCACCTCACATCATCAGTATATTATCTGAACGTCCTCAGCCTCAACGCACGCGGCTCTCACTCTACACTAACTAAACCAATTAGAGCATCGTTACTTTCATAATCCATTCATGTTCTCTCGTACCGCTCTTTTGAACCCCTACCGACCCCAGCCGACCCCCACTACAACCCACCAAACCCTTCCCCTTCCCATATAAACGCATTACATTCATAACTCGTCATTTCCATGCAACTGCACACTAACAACGACAGATTGTTTCATTAAATCAAACTAACTTAATGAGACTGAACTATATTTTTATGAAAAAACTACAAATGTGTAAGGTGGGGTCACTGACACCTCGTCTGCTGGCTATCACGCATTATATTAAAAGTAATTAAAACTCGTTGAATACGCAAAATTACGAAAAGTGAGATCTACACTCTAAAATATATTTCACACCACGTAGTGTTACTATAACATCCTGTACTCGTCGCCGTAGATATGTAAAAACATTCTGTAAGTTTGAGGAAATAAGATCGAATTCTGAGGCCGTTAGTTGAGTGTCAATGGAATGGAGCACAGAGACATATACATTCATATGTGTCGTCGACTATTTATGTAAATTAATTCCACAGGGTTTGCATTAGCAATTATCTTCGAGAATTCACAAATGATTAATTTTTTACTTCTGTGTATATTAAGCTAGTTTTGCATTCTGAACTTAGCATTTATATTTTATTGGAAGTAAATTGTGT